GATAGAGGAGTCTCACGGACTTTCCTGCATGGGCTGGCTTTGAACCGTGATCCTCCGATCTCAGCCTCTGAGTAGCTAGGATGACAGGCTCGTGAGCCACTGGGCCTGGCCAATTTTACGATTTTTAATTGTTCAGTTTTTTTGGAGCAATGTCTCCTTCCACCACTCTGCAAATACCATAACAAAGCTTGACTTCTCAGTTCATTTTTGCTAGGTTAGGTCACAAAAGCACTCAATATCCACATATGTGTGTGTGTGTGTGTGTGTGTGTGTGTGTGTGTGTGTGTGTGTGTATACATTTATATAGCTATATATGTATATGTCTATGTCTATCTTTGAGACATGGTTGTGGCAGCCCAGGCTGGCCTCGAACTCTTACCTCGGCGTTCCCCGGGGGTTATTATGCCACCACACGCAGACGCGCCTCAAGCGAGGCGGACAGCCGTCGGCCGCACGAGCGCTCCAGCACTGAAAAACGCGCGCCAAATCGTGCCGTTTACGTCACCTGACGCAACTTCCGCCCCTGGGCGCGCCTCTGGGCGTCCCCTTCGCCCCAGTCGGTGTCTACTTCCGGCGTTTCAATAAAGCTCGATTCGACTCGAAGAAGAGCTGTTCTTCCGGGAAAATGGCGACTCCCGCCCGTGCCCCGGAGTCGCCTCCGGCCGCGGATCCCGCACCCGCCGTGGGGCCTGCCGAGGAGGAAGCCGACTGCCCGCCGCCGCCTCGCCAACCTCAGGTCCCGCAGAATGTCCTCGCTGCCCCGCGGCTTCGAGCCCCCAGCTCCCGAGGACTTGGGGCCGCGGAGTTTGACGGAGCTGCGGGAGATGTTGAGGCGCCAGGAGAGACTTTTGCGCAACGAGTAAGCCGCGGGGTCCCCCCTCGCTCCTCCCCTGCCCCGAGTCGGCGCCGGGCTGCCCGGGCGCGCTGCCTTTTTCCCCGTCTCCCCCCCACCCCCCCTTGCCCTGGAAGGTCACCTTGGCCCCCGGTGGATCCCCGGCCGCCCCGCGGGCCCCGGCGCGGCCTGCAGCGGCCCAGCCGAGCCTCGCGCGGGCCCCGCGCCGGCCGCGTGGGGACGGTGCCCGGAGGGCGGGCGGGCGGGTGCTGCGGCCGAGGTGGGGGGTGTGTGTGTGTGCGTGGTGGGGGGGGGTAATCATCAGCGCGGCCACGGCCTCCACCCCTTGGCACACCTCTGTCCCCTTCACCAAAACGTGTTGACAGTTGTCGTGTTTAAATGGACCCAGGTCCCCGTACCTCTGCCCTCACTGGGTCCGCACAGACTCTTGGCGGGTCTGTGGAGGGCGGAAGGCGGCTTGAACTCAGGACGTTGGACGCGCTGTTCCTGAGCTTTTGCTCAAGCTTGTCACTTGAGCCACACCTCCGTTTCTGGCTTTTTTTTTTTTTTTTTTGGTGGTCGATGAGGAGTCTCGTGGACTTTTCCTGCCTGGGCTGGCCTTGAACCAGGATCCTCACATCTCAGCCTTCTGGGTAGGATCACACACACCAGCCACATGAGCTCTCTAGATCTACTCTTTAATGGACCTCACTCTCT